AAAGAGAAAGAGTGCAACTGGTATGTGGCATGGTGGTTAAAGGCGCTGCATTCCCACATGGGCAAATGTGGTTCAAGTCATGGACCTGGTGGTTTGCTTTCTTACTTTCCCTTTCTCTCTTTCTCTCTGGTCAAATTGAAAAATAATGAAAACAAATGGAATTAAATAAATAATTCTTTTAAAAGAGAGAGAGAAGGTGTTATCTGAGAACTTTGCACTAGAAAAGTCCAAGTCAGAGTAAATTGCAAGAAGACTATCATACTTAACATATTTCAAAAGGTGAGAACAGATGATTTCATTTGGCAATTAAAAGTTGTGAGTGAGCCAGTAGATGGCGTGATGGTTAAGGTGCTGGATTCCCATGTGGTTGACTGGTTTGAGTCCTGGATCAGTTGGCTTGAGAATCACGTCCAGTGTGTGAGTGTACCTGCTCAGAATCCTGAGAGGAGAATAGAGGAGAAGGGATTGTGGCTTAGCCATCCCCCCATGGAGTAATTTCTCATTTTCCCTCTCTGTCTCTGTCTGGTGAGTGCACATGCCCTATAATGAAAACATTCAAAAAAAAAATCACAAGTTACTTTAATTAGAGTAGGTATACATAGAAAGATAAAGAGTGTAGCTAAATTTTCCAAAGCTCAGAAGCAGGTAGAAGAAGGGAAGAAGTCCTTTTCAATATTGAAACTTGTCGACAGAAGTAAAATGATAGAATGACTTTATGATAGAAGCTTTCTTTGCTTAGTTTTCATAAGAGACAGGAGTTTATTTAAGATATAAAAGGAGCGGGGGGAGGGAAAGAAGGTGAGAAGAGATAAAGAAGGTGAGAAGAGATCGGGTGAAAAGTCTGTGAATGGACTAACTTGAAAAACAAGAGGGCCTTCCTTTTCTGAGAGAATGGAGGAGAAAATCAGCAGGACAGAGACACTGTGAAGATAAGAGGGAAGTTAAGAGATTTCATTCCCAAAACAAAGTATCCAGGGCCCAGCAAGTACCAGTATCCTCTCATGTGAGAAAACACTGGTGAACAAATCAGGAGGAACCCATACCCTCGTGGAACTTAAGTGGGTTTATTCTTACACTCAATAAAGCACAGAATGAGAATAAAAATGTGCTGGGAACTTGAGAGGAGACAAACTGTTGAGACTAATTTCTCTGCAAGAATGTAATAAAATTGTCATCAAATGATCTAAAATCACAACCAAACACAGATTGGCCTGGAGCAGAGAAGAATCAGCTAGCTGTTGATAAATTCTAAAGACACTGACACTCTCTCAAACTTTAGAAATTGACTATAATAGTCATGCAGTGTGTGTGTGTGTGTGTGTGTGTGTGTGTGTGTGTGTATGTTTTGTTCTGCTCTCTCATAAATGTAAACAATATACATCAAGTTCATTAAAAATAATACCTGGGACCAGCCCTTGGCGTAATGGCTATGTCACAGGACTCCCATGTAGTCGACTGAGGTTTGAGTCCTGGACCCAGTGGCTTAAATTCACACCAGGCGCATGTGCATGTGTGCTCAAGACCCCGAGAGGAGAACGGAGGAGAAGGGATTGCGGAGTGGCCATCCCCGCTCAGGGGGTGATTTCTCGCTTTCTGTCTCTCTGTCTCTCTCTGTCTTTCTGGCGAGTGCAGGCGCCCTATAGCAAAAACCTCTCCAAAATAATAATAATAATAATAATAATAATAGTAATAAATATTTATGTTTGCACTAGTACACAGCCTTAAACATGTTAGTTTGGGAAAACCTTTAACTGTTTAGTTCATTCTTAGTCCTGATCCTGACTATGAGAACAGAAAGATGAGCAGAGTTTGTTCAAAGTACAGTGCTAAATAAGTCAACAAACTTTGATGTATATTTGATGTAAACATGTATTAAAACTGAACTCTTCCATACGAAATCGCATTCTTAATTTCCACATATAATCCCAGTTTTTCTGTTGGTAGCAAGAAGTGCATATCAATTTACTTCGTTAAAATTTTTATAAAATAATTTCTAATATTATGTGTACGTTAAAAATTATGTTAAAAATCTCCTTAGAAACATTTGTTCTCTCTTACTGTAGCTGCAAATCAAAGAACAAGATCAAAAGTTGTGTGCAAATAGTATGATGCCAAGAAAATTTGAATAAATATGCCAAAATATTTTTATATATATATGTATAATTTTTCTTAATGTTTTTAGAGACGGAGAGTTTTGCCACAGGGCATGTGCGCTCACCGAGATTCGAACTACAGGCCATTATGTGGGAGTCCAGCGACGTAACCATAATGCCATCTGCTGGTCCCAATACACCAACATATTAATTTATCTAGTTATCACTGAGTGGAGAAATTACAAATAACTTAATTGCCTTTGTATATGCTTTCTTCATTTCTAAATTACTTCCAATGAATACGAATTACAATTATATATTTTCTTTAAAGTTCTGCATATTAGTTCAAATGCCACTCATTTCCAGGTAGCATTCTTCTCACTGTCAAACAACTTCTCATTATAATTTCACAAAACCACAATTTAGGGGCCATTCGGGCCATTCCGAGGTGCTCACCTGATTGTAGTGCTGCATATTTTGCGCTTCGCTTCCCCAGTCATAAGCTCTGAATTCATCAGATCGGTAAAGCTGAAATAAGGGTGTTCCATTTTTTTCAGAAAAAAATTCAGGGTAAGACTCATGGAAACTAATGACAAATAAGAAAAATATGGTACACTGGGAAGAAAACAGGCCCCTGAGTTATCAGAGGGATGTAAATATTTTTCTTACTGTTATGAAAAATGGGCTCCCACAGATACTGAAGCAATGATCTGCTTGCGTTTAAAGAAAAAGCTGATGGCAAACCAAAACTCAACAGAAGAAAGTCAAATCCCAGTTATTTCTCTCTCTGGAGAAGTCTCAGCTCCTCCCGCAGCTTCCCTCCTTAAGAAAAATAACTGGGATTTAGCTTCCTTTCTTGACCTTTTGCTTCAGCACAAGAAGGACTATTTTACAAGCTCTGATATAAGATCAGGTTCATTTATATCACTCACTTGGCCTGCACTATAAGATCCCTTCTCTTAAAATCCAGGGAAATCAAAACATAAACATGGCAACAAGGACAAGTTGGAAGCAAGCTGCTAAGGTTCGTAGGGCAGGCCTGTTAGCAGGATGTTCTATCCTTTCATATACAGTGAAAATAAGAGTTGAGCGAGGTTTCCATAGAAATGATGCTACCTGTTTGATATGAAGCATGGTCTGCATTGATGATCCACTGGGGGCATGTGACAGATACACATCCATGCGACTCTAGGGGAAATAAAACCTATGTGAAGGCAATAATCACCCAATGAAATAACTACGCCACTCAGAAGCAGAGGGAAATGGTGCTAAGAATTAATAAATGGACACTGGGGTTTTGAAATTAGTGACAGAGTCATCTAGATAAATATATATTTATAAATTATTATTATTATTTTCAGAAGTTTTTGCTTTAGGGCATGTGTGCTTGCCAGAGAGAGAGACAGAGACAGTGAGAGGGAAAATGAGACATCATCCCTCATGGGAGATGGCCAACACCACAATCCTTTCTCCTCCATTCTCCTCTCAGGGTCTTGAGCATACACATTCATGTGCCTGGAGTGAATTTCAAGCTACTGGGTCCTGGACTCAAACCACCATTGGTCATGCGGGAGTCCAGAGATGGGCTGGCTGATATGAAGAACAGTTATCTTGGACTGGCTTCCCTTTGGCAGTCTTACAGCTCTGCCTTTGAAATGTAACAGAGGTAACATCAACCATGCTAGTCTACACATGTCAACCTTTACCTCTTTTTAAAATTCTCAGTAACAGGAAAGAAAAGGTTGATGAAACAGGATTTCTGCTTCTTCATAGGTAGTAGATTCTATCTCCTTTCTATTCTGTCCTGCATTTTCTAGGTTAAGTAGTGAGCATTGTTTGAGGCTAAAATCACCCGCAAAGGAGGGCACGCATGACATAAGTTCAATTGCTTGCAGGTGCTTCTTTCCATTTTTATGACTTTACTTTTCACTGAAATATATTCAAATGCAGTCAGTTAAAGTGATCTGCAGTAAGTGTGGCTGATTGTGATCATGTTTGAGAAACTACTTACCAATTTTGAAACATTCATTCTCCTAAATTTGACCAAAATGGAAGGACAAAGTGCCTATTCTCTCTGACTCAGCTCTCACATTTCATGGTCTGCTGAGTATCTACTCTCCTATGCATATGGTTTGAGTACCATATGAATTTATGCAGAGTAACATGAGGGGATGCTGGGGCCAGCATAGTAGTTAAGGGCGCTGGACTTTCACATGGCTGACCATGGTTCAAGTCCCAGATCTGATGGCTGGCTTTCTCACTTCCCCTCTCTCGTTGTTGCTCTTGCTCTGGTCAAATTAAAATAAGTAAATCAATAAATAAAGTTAAATAAAATAATTATTTTAAAAGTATGAGGGGACTTCAAAATGTTCATGAAAAAATAGAATTAAAGTACAAGTTTATTTCAATGTAAAAAAATTAAATCCACTTTTTTTATAATTTGCATTTCCATGAATTTTGTTGTCGTTGTTCTCATTACCTATTTATTTTTTTTGCCATGGGCTACGTGCACTTGCCATAGAGAAAGAGACAGGGAGTGTGCTCCCTAAAGGGGATGGCCCTCTGCAATCCCTTCTCCCCCATTCTCCTCCTGGCACCCTGAGCATGCACACACATGTGCCCGGCATGTCTCCCAGGCTGCCAGGTCTCTGACTCAAACTAAGGAGTTGGCCATGTGGGATCCAGCACTTTAACCACCATGCCATCTGCTGTCCCTCCATGAACGTTTGGAAGATCCTCTCATACATATATCAAAACAAATCAAAGGAAAACTGGAATTTCTTAAAGTGTAAAATACCCCCATAATTTTTATACATACCATATTTATATTTTTTTGGTTGAATCCAGCCCATAAGGACAAAAGTTCACTACACAACAGCCAGAATATTTTACGGTTGCATATTTTGGTGGAAGGTATCTTCTCCTTCTTATCTTCTAAAAACACTCCTTTGGTACCAAAAATAGCCTGTAAAAGTAAAATATACATATTTTTAAGCACTGTCTTCAGACTTTCTGATATTTCTTCATTCCAGAAATAAGCATTCTTAGGGATCTGCTTCTATTATATTGGCTTTTGGGTCAAGGAGATCAAGTTATTCCAGGGAAATGACTTAGGAATCCATTACCAAATTATTGCACATTATAGGAGGTAATGTAGCAGTGAGAACCCTCGTCCCCACGTTCACTTCTCCATGCCAAGGTTCCTCTGTATTGTAACCAATCAGTGATTTCCATTTTTTTATCCCTCATTTTTTTGTGAGAGGTGGAAGAGATTCTTGTGAAGGTTAAAAAAAAAAATACCTTGAATAGGAAGCTACCTTCCTAGAGGGTTTTCCACATTTTCCATGTGTGAATCAGCTCCCTAGCTAGTACTACCCTAGGTCAGCCAGCTTTCATGCTGGAAAGCAGAGAATGGTGTACCAAGGGGAGGGTGCCACTGGACAGAAAAGATGGGATGGTGTCATGGAGGCAGCATGTTTGAAGGTCCTAAGAAATGGGGAAGTAAGACTGGGTGGTGATCTCTGGTACCATCCTGAAGCTTTTGCAGATACAACCAATAGCAGTGGGCAGAAAGGAGTGAACTTAATGTGGAAGGAATTTTGACAGTAGGGCATGTGATACAGAATAAGCCTAGAACATTATTTGCCTTATAGCTAAACTATGTAGGAAGAGCAATGCGTAAACAAACTGGTATGTATACAGAGCTGCTTCTACCTCTGAATTTAACAGACTTCGTTCGTTGAGCCCTCTCCAAAGGTAGAAAACATTTAAAACTGACTGATGTCAACACATTTTGCAATAGCACTATCAACTCTACAAAAGGGATGCTACCTCACTTGTGCTCCCAATAAACAATACAATAAAACTGGTATCTCACCGATCATGAAACTTTGTGGAAATTCTTTGTGTTAGCTCACAGGTATTTTTTTCTTTCCCCCCATTCTTACAACTCCACCTCAAACCAGGACCTCATCTTCTTGCATGTGAATTATTGTGACACTCTAACTGGACTCCTGGGTTTCATTTTGGCCCCAATTCAATGTATTTATCAACCCCAATTCAAAGGGACATCTTGGTAAAATACTATGCTAATTGTGGCAATAACCTTCACAGAGAAACAAAGACAAAAAGGAAAAAGAAAATAAAAACAAGATAATTTTTAATGGGTAAAATGACAAATCTGTAACTGGGAATTAGCTTTTCCAAATTTTGAAAATTAATCGATACATTTTTAAACAAATAATGGAGCTGTAAAAGATGTAGGCATTGGAAACAGCTTCAGTACATTCGAGCAAGCTCACGTATACGAAGGAGCTTATTAGTTAGGCTTATCTAATACCAAAGTTGGGGACATCAGTGATCACATGTAAGGTAAAGAGTGTCTTCCACTGGAGCATTGTGAATTCATTGACCTACCCAACAAAATGGAACGAGAAAACTCATGAGTAAACCCCAAACTGATGGAGTGCTCAAATCAGCTAGAAATTCGAATACCTACTCAGCTTTGTTAATGACCTAGAATAATCAATTGCATGTGGGAGGGACCTGGAGACGCCACGACACAGACATGCGCACACAAATGCACACTCATACTAAGCAAGCACAAGACAACAGAGTCGGAGTTGTACAGATTTCATCTAAATGTACTACTTTTACTTCACAGTAGATTTTTGAGTAGCCAGAATCTATGATCCCAAATGAGATCCTCAGGTACATTTTTGGCAAAAGGAGCCTACCTTGAGTATGGAATTTGGAAGTAGGAAAAAGTTGGTAAAAATGCCCGTGGGATATTTAAATGAGATCACAGGACCCAGAGCAAAATTCATTTTGATTCTTTGTGCTAGTTCAGGCATGGTGGAAAAGGCTACAAACCCTGAGAGAACAGGAGACAAGACAATCTTGTAAAAAAATTAGAAATACTTAATGCAATGTGTAGACTAACAAAACAGGCTCTGCCAATGATCTTGGGATTATTCTGCAATGATAATCTGCCTTCAGTCCTCTCTACTCTCAAGTTTCTGATTCTTCTACCTTACTGGTGGACGATTTCATTTGTCGGGGGAGGAGGCAGAGGAGTTGGCGGGTGAGAGACCAAGGGTGAGTGCAGAGGCAGCTGCTGCTGGGTGAACTGCTGTCAAGCTTACTTCCTCAGCATGGGGTAAATGCTATCTAGCAATGCTCATTTCACCTCCAACTCTGAGATGCCAGAATGAGACATGGAGCTTTTAGAAGTAAAATATCAGTTCATGGGAGGTGAATAAATCACTTTTTCTTCACTATCATCTGGGTATTCTGGTTTTTCTTTCCCACAATGAAATGAGATTTCACTGCTCCTAGTGCCTTGCTAGACATTTACCAACTCTGCAGACTCTTCTCAGAAGCAGGGGCCTTTCCCTGGGCCCACCATGGTCTGGTAAAACTAGCTGCCTCGATTTTCTCTGCTCTTTCACCAGGAACATTGACCTATTCAGAGCCCATGATGGTGAATGAGTCAGATCAGCACACACTGGAAAGGCTAGGAAGAGTACCTACGCATTTTGGTTTCCTGAGGTACCTTCCTGGGTCTCCCCTGCTGTGAGTACCTCTGTGTGTGTGTGCACTGAGATGTTTGTTGAAATGTTAAAACTGCTTTGGCCAGAAAAAGAACTGAAATAATTGAGCAATTTCTACAAAGACTGAACCACCCATAATACTTCTGCAGAGGGTCTTGGAAATGTATGGAGGTAAGATTTTTGTTGGTCATGCTAACTCAGGAGCTTTACTGACATTCAGTGGGCTGGAATTTGGGTTGCTAAATGTCCTACAAATAGTCAGTCCTCCTTACATAAACACTACCCTGCCTAAAATGCACATAGTGCTCACTGAAAAATTCCATGCCCTGAACGTAACACAGAGAGCACTGTGGACCGCATTGTCTGTTTCCATAAGAAAATGATAGAGGGTTGAGTGAAGTGATGGATATGCTAAGTAACCCCATTTGATCATTATGCAAAGCATATGTGTATCAAAACATCATACTCTGCCCCATAAATATGTTAATTAAAATTCATGAATTAAAAATAAAATAAAACTAAAAAGCATTAATTTTTTTTTCAGATTAGATATAAAAGAAATAGTCTACCCACTTTCCCAAACTAAATTCGAGTTTTTCCTTGTCTATACAGTTTCCCCACAGTGTCCATGCTCCCTACTGGTGAAGTCAGACTGCCTGGTTTGAGTCTGCATTCTGCTTCTTACGTACCAAGAGACCTCGTGCTACTGAATTTCTCTGAATTTTTGTTGACTCTTCTCTAAGATGGAGACAATAATAAGTAGGAGTGTTCTGAAGATTTCAGGCAGATATACTGGGAGATGTTCTGAACATGTAAGGAATGCTCAGTAAGTGTTAGATCTTGTAGTATAATTATTTGTCTATTACTGGGTTGTTGGAAAAGTCACAATGCATAGAAAAACAAAAATAATACATCATGAATTTTCCTATGGCCCAATCATTTGGTCACCTATTAGATTTCAGAAACGTTTAGCTTGTGTGTGCTGATACTCACCGCCTGTTCTGAGCTTGTAAACTGCCTTTCTTTTTTTTTTTTTTTTTTGAGAGGTTTTTGCCATAGGGTGCGTGTGCTTGCCAGACAGAGAGAGACATAGAGACAGAAAGCGAGAAATCACCCCCCAGGGGGGATGGTCACACCGCAATCCCTTCTCCTCCATTCTCCTCTTGGGATCCTGGGCACGCACGCACATGCGCCCGGCATGAGTTTTAAGCCACCGAGTCCGAGACGCGAACCGCGGTCGACTACATGGGAGTCCAGCGACATAGCCATCACGCTAACCGCTGGTTCCCAAACTGCCTTTCAATATAAAGTAAATTAATATAGGCTTGTTGATAATGGTAATAGTGATCATGAAAAAACTGTAAACACGTTTATTGTTTCTTGCACAGTGTGACCAAAATGAAAATATTTCATTTCACATGACCTACTCTCTTAAAATTAGAAGCTTTAGTGGAAGATCAATAATAAATTCAAATTATTGTTAGTATGGATTTCTTTAAACTTTTTCCTGGAATTAGATTATTATTGATTTTTTTTTCTAAAACATCTAAGTAATATTTATGAAATAAATTTTTAAAAAATCATAAAACCTTTAAATTTCTATTTACACTTAATTGCTAGTCCATAAGTATTATATAACACACTAAATAGATAAATCCATTTGATCTATAATAAAAATCAATGTCCTAACTCCCAAATCGATGTAACTGTATCTTTCAATTTTTTTAACTCTCTCTCCTTTTTATGTTTTTTTAAAACCCACTTGCATTGTAAAGAAAGAATGATGGATTTACATTTACAACTCTTCAGGGATATTTCATGCCATTAGACTTTACTTTTTAGATCTGAGAGAACATAGAAATGTGCTCTTTCGAATTACTTCTTTGGATTTGGGGCACATATTATTCCTGGGAAATTACATCACCAGCACCATGTGTAGCTGTGACCAGGTGGAGGGAATGTTCACCCTGCAACTCTGGACTGGAGATTCACAGCCACCTCCACTCTGAGCACTGGGTTATTCTCAGCACAGGACAGAAAATTAAAGGTGCTATAAATAATAGTTACTTATTTTGATTTTAAGGTGAACTCTTAAAAGACTTTGCCCCTTGTCAACATACCGATTGTAGTGCCAAGTGAATGTCCAATGAAATACAACTTCTCCTGACCAGTTTTATTTACAATGAAGTCTATTACTCCTGGGAGATCATATTTGGCCATTTCATCAAAACTGCAAAATAAAACAAGGACTCGTAAATACTTGGAACTATAAGTTTAAAATTCTTGTAGAGCAGTGTTTGGGTGCTGTGCAGAGGAAACTGGATCCCATGTGACCTACCAGGGCTTGAGCCCCAGCCCTAATGGCTTGAAAAACTCCCTGGATGCATGTATGTTCCCAGGATCCTGACAGGATAGATCAATGGATGGAAAAGAATTGTGGCTTGATCAGGTCCCATTAGGGAGTGCACTTTCCCTCTCTGTCTCTCTGTCATCTTGTGTTGTGCATGCACCCTCTGGACTAATGAGAATTTAAAAAACTTTCTTGCACAGTGTGACCAAAATGAAAATATTTCATTTCACATGACCTACTCTCTTAAAATTAGAAGCTTTAGTGGAAGATCAATAATAAATTCAAATTATTGTTAGTATGGATTTCTTTAAACTTTTTCCTGGAATTAGATTATTATTGATTTTTTTTCTAAAACATCTAGGTGATCTTTATGAAATAAATTTTTAAAAAATCATAAAACCTTTAAATTTCTATTTACACTTAATTGCTAGTCCATAAGTATTATATAACACACTAAATAGATAAATCCATTTGATCTATAATAAAAATCAATGTCCTAACTCCCAAATCGATGTAACTGTATCTTTCAATTTTTTTAACTCTCTCTCCTTTTTATGTTTTTTTAAAACCCACTTGCATTGTAAAGAAAGAATGATGGATTTACATTTACAACTCTTCAGGGATATTTCATGCCATTAGACTTTACTTTTTAGATCTGAGAGAACATAGAAATGTGCTCTTTCGAATTACTTCTTTGGATTTGGGGCACATATTATTCCTGGGAAATTACATCACCAGCACCATGTGTAGCTGTGACCAGGTGGAGGGAATGTTCACCCTGCAACTCTGGACTGGAGATTCACAGCCACCTCCACTCTGAGCACTGGGTTATTCTCAGCACAGGACAGAAAATTAAAGGTGCTATAAATAATAGTTACTTATTTTGATTTTAAGGTGAACTCTTAAAAGACTTTGCCCCTTGTCAACATACCGATTGTAGTGCCAAGTGAATGTCCAATGAAATACAACTTCTCCTGACCAGTTTTATTTACAATGAAGTCTATTACTCCTGGGAGATCATATTTGGCCATTTCATCAAAACTGCAAAATAAAACAAGGACTCGTAAATACTTGGAACTATAAGTTTAAAATTCTTGTACAGCAGTGGCTGGGTGCTGCGCAGAGGAAACTGGATCCCATGTGACCTACCAGAGCAGTGTTTGGGTGCTGTGCAGAGGAAACTGGATCCCATGTGACCTACCAGGGCTTGAGCCCCAGCCCTAATGGCTTGAAAAACTCCCTGGATGCATGTATGTTCCCAGGATCCTGACAGGATAGATCAATGGATGGAAAAGAATTGTGGCTTGATCAGGTCCCATTAGGGAGTGCACTTTCCCTCTCTGTCTCTCTGTCATCTTGTGTTGTGCATGCACCCTCTGGACTAATGAGAATTTAAAAAACAAACAAACAAACAAAAAACCCTTCAGATATTTCTTTTTTTATACACAAAATTCTGTGCCATCTACTTACACAGTGTATTTCATTATTTGCCCAATTAAATGTAGGCTATTTTAGCTTTTTTTTTCTACATTACATAATTTACTTCCTAATAACAGAAATTATTTCAGGACTCATGTATGCTATTTGAAGTTCATTACTTCTCTTCATTTCCTTCTCTTCATTTCCTTCTCTTGCTTCTCTATCCTTTCCCCATCTTTGAATTTCTCTACTTCTGACTCTCCTGGGGGATTATGTAACTCTTAGGACTGTTTAATACTTATCTTTGGTAATAGGACTATTGCCAATTATTATTCTACCATTTACTAGCTGAGTAACTTCCAGTACTATTTAAATGCTCTGAGCCTGTTTCCTTATTTGGGAAGTGAATAGGGTAGTGCCTGGTAAGGCTGCTCTAGTGGTTGGATAATATGAAAGAAATGACTGACAGCTAGTTGACATTTAGTCAGATGCTGCTATTTTTCATATTTCTGTCTCTCTGTGTGTATATATGAATATATATATATATATACACATACATATATATACACATAGATACACATAGATACACATATATACACATATATACACATACCTATATATATATATACACATAGATATACTCAAAACACTAAAATTCTATAGTGTATATACACTATAGAATT